TCCTCTCGGCGCTTGTTGTGACAGCTCTCCATCTATCATCTCTCTCTCTCTCTCTCTCTCTCTCTCTCTCTCTCTCTCGCTATCTCTCTCTCTCTCTCTCTCTCTCTCTCTCGCTATCTCTCTCGCTCTCTCATCCCTCTCTCTCTCTCTCTCTCTCTCTCGCAGCTCTGTTGTGACAGCTCCCATCGCTTCTCTCTCTCTGTCTCGGTCGCCGGGGTGTCGCGGCTCTGCCAGCTGGCCGCCACGGTTCCCTGCCGTTCGGCACGCCACTGAAGTGCCAAGGGACGCGATCGGCACGCCGCCGTCGCCACCGACGACGACCGGGGGTTTGCCGATGGCAGTGCCAACTGTGACCAGTGCCAGTGGTTAATTTTTTACCGTCACTGAACAGTGAGACCCACTGTCCCACTCAACTAACTTTACAAGTCGGGAACACCTTATCTTGTTCCACCCCATATGATGGTGTGAGTATCCCATCAAGTGTCCACCCCAAGGGAGACGGTGAATTCACTGACCCTTCCCACCAGTTGGGAGTTGGGACCGACTGTGGTTCTATCCCACGAGATGATGCGGCCTGTTGTTCTGTGCCGGCCACCCCATGCCGAACGGTGAGACCATTATTGCAATGCACAATCATAAGAAGATATGAGTGGCAGGCACCCGATTGGAACCCCACTGTATAAACATTGAACATGTCATTAAAATGCAATATAATGAACTATGTACAGGCTTGATTGCCGGGCTTCGAGAAGCAATCCTCCTCCAGCAACTTTCCACGACCAAAGTGAAATCGCAAAACGGTCATTGAGGATCTCAATGGCCAGTGCAGGCCACCTACAAAACCCTAATGAATGGAATACACTCAACGGTGAATCTGTTTACAAGTCAAGTTCAAATACTACATATCACACAAAAGCTTGTAGCCTTTAGCTAGCTGGCTAGCTTGTAATCCTCGTTCGAGTCCGCACGCTAGCCAGCTCGGAAGCAGGTGGCGCTGCCGTACCTGTCTCGTTTCTAGGTCCGCGGCGCTGTGGTCTGTTCTGTCAACATGCAGCGCTGCGTTGGTGCCTCGCTGGACCTGGTGGTGTCCTCTCCAAACCACCCCTGGTTTTAGTGCTGCCACCTGCAGCGGCTGCCCCGACAGGTCGAAGTCGAGTGCAAGTGTGCGGGTGCAAGTGTCGAGTGCGAAATGAGTGCAAAGTCCATCCCTTTTAACCCAGCCGGTATTTTGTACCACCTACCTTGTCACTTCTCCTGATCTAGGAGAGATTTGTGAGACATGGGTCTTTAACATTTCAACGATCTCCAGCCACTGAGCACAAGTCAATGTCTTGGTTATGCTGTGACCATAGTATGTAAGGTTAAAACGGAGAGGTCTTTAGTATCGGGTAACAAAAACCTTTCCATGGCAAATCGTTTTCTCCGATCTCCACAAATGTGAATGCTCTATTCTGACAGCAGACAGACAGCAACACGAAACTCTCCTGACGTTTTCTAGATTTATTTTGAGCACCATTGTCCGTATTTTATATTTACCTATAAATATACATACAATATTACACATAACATACATACACGCAGGTCGCAACAATCTGCTTGGGCTAGCTATTTCCGGGGAAGTGGTAGGTATATCCCTTAAAGCCTGAAACCTCATAAAATGTGTAAAGGAGCAAAAGTTAGGTACACTCTTATGGATAGCCCACCACTTCACTGAACAAGCGCGATTATAACAATCGAGAAGTACTTTGGTCAAGCATAGCTTCGGTCAAAGGTCAGCTAATCAGAGGCTGGCAAAGGTTAATTTCCTTGATGTTAACGTCTTTTGGAACCAATTGGTTCATAACACGTTATTTATTCCGCGTAACAACACACTATTCCTGACTGTTACTAGCCTTTCTGCCTTCAACATTGTTCGAATGTAAGGCAAACACATTCACTTTATTTTGAAGGGTGACATGATATACGAAATATTTATCTAGGTTCGTTATTGGTCTTAACTTAAGGTATAAAGGCCAATTTTACAGCCTCCCATCTGCATCGTTTGATAGACTCCTGATAAGAGTGCACTCCTGACTAATCATTTTAGACCTGAGGTCACCTTAGGTCATGAAAGGTCGTCAGCATTTTTTTCGACGAGTACTGCTCAGCTGAGACTTCTCATGTTGCGGTTCTGAGACGTTTTGCCTTGACCTTAGGTCGATTTGCACAGTAACCTTTCAGAGTCACAATAATTAATCCTTCGAGGCATTTCGACGAGACAACCACGATGCTATAGAAAATTGATGTCCTGCAGCATAATATACCCATCGAGAGTTATCTAAATAAAGAAGTAAGGTCACCTTTCACCTTGTTTGTGCTCTGGAGGTCTTACCTTGGTATCAGGGCAGTTTTTAGGCTACGTTGAAGACAAATTAACCCACGCCCCACTGGGGGAGGCTATTCATACCCCTTCCCGTTTTTCTGCAATAACTTCTAAACCGCTTGACGTATCGGCGCCAAACTGTCAGTTACCCTCGCTGCATCAATTTGACAATTTGTGTCAAAATATGAACTTCGTAGCTACCATAGGTCGGCCGGAAATGACGTCAGAGTGACGTCATGTTCGGCCGATTTCGACGCAAAACAACCACGGCAATTTCTCTCAGGAGCTCAGTTTTTAAGCCATAAATATATATGTCTATATTATATTTCTTTGCATGAGAGGACTCAAAATAATCTACGCTATCAAACTGCAATCTTGGATTCTCAAAATTTTGAAATTTTTTGAAAAAGTATATACATTAAAATTCAAGCTTTATATTTTTATCTTTTTACAATTTTTTATGAATTTTCGAAAAAAAACGGAATATATGTGATAGAAACATGCTTATGACTTACTCTAGCAAGTTTTAGCCAGATATCTTTAAAATGACCAAGTTATACGCATTATAACAAAAATTTCACGATTATAATTTTCTAAATCAGTTTCTTAGTACGATCTGACATCGTATACCAACATAAATAGCACCATCGTGTTCCTGAGCTCAAACTGCATCCGATAGACACTTTTTATTAAAAATTTCAGCTTTAAAATTTGACTTTTATTGACTTGAAAGTGGCCCGACCTGAGCCAAATTCAACTCAAAATGACCTCGAATGACATAAACGACATCGAATTCGAAATCAATGGCCTAAATGGATCATAAAACATGTGTCACGTGACCGATGCATGACATAAGATTTCCGTGACCTGTGATGACCTGACCCTGACCTGAAAATCATAGTACAAGTTTGATACCCTCAGGGTATCTAAGGCATCTGTTCACGAGTGTGTAAACCAAAAATGAGCCCGATCTGACTCGTAAGACGGCGGCCAGAGCCCAAAATGTGAACAAGTCAATTATCGATAGTTTTACTTTGACCTGACCTGTGACGTTATCGGTGACCTCGTCCTCGAGGTCAATGAAATTAGGTTTCGGTCGACAGTTTTTCCGGGGCTATCAGACCCCGTTTGAATTTTAACGATCGGCCCAGTACTTTCGGAGTTAAGAGGGGGGGGGGCCTCCTGCAGTAGGGCGCGCCGTATACGCAGACCCCAGTGGGGCGCGGGTTAAAAGGTGTTAACCTGTGCCGTGCCGGAGGAGCTTTTCGGACCCCCTGCTGTTTTTCGCAGATACTTATAGGTAGCGGTGCAGAGCGCCACCATTTTGGGCAGACCTATTCATGCATCTTGTCAGCAAACTTTGTGAAAAAAAAATCAGAATCAAGGTCAGGTCACCAGGTGGCAGGTAACGTCAAGTGACCTCACCTCAGAAAAGTCACAATGCTTATCATATCAGATCATGAAAGGTCCCCAGCAGGTTTTTGCAATAACTTTTGATAAAGACATGCTAGAGCGATGGAAAGGCATAAGGTTTCTTTAGGTTCATGTTACGGATTGACTGATATGCAGCATGACCTTTTTCGGTCAGGTCATGACCTTGACTTTCGGTCATTTTTTAAAGGACCTTTTAAGATAAAATAATTATATTTCATTCGGCGCATCCCGATGAGAGAACACGATGATGGCAAAAATTATTGTGCTTTTCCTAAGTCAAAAGCTATTACCGAAAATACTTTTCATCAAAACGGTTTTTCTAGAGTTTTTGCCCTCTGTGGCCGTATTCACAATCACGGGTTAAGGGTAGGGGTAGGAGTAACGGGTAAAGGGTTATTTTTGTGACAGGAGGCTAAACCGTTGATCTTCGGTTAAACCTTGGGACAGCTTATGTGTAGAAAGAGCGTTAAAGGAGCTATCAGATGCGCTTTTACACCTTAGATGACCTCCGGTGACCTGACTTTGACTTGACCTAATAAATGATCGGTTATTTTCGTCATGATTTTTGACGTTCTTTGGATTGCCGCATACCGTGTGTCGCTACATAGCCCAGGAGCCGAATTAGAGAGGGGGCTCAAACGCCCCCCCCCCCTCATTCCGACGCTATTAGCGCCGAGCACCGGCCCGTCGCGTGTTGAAAGAGCTATTGAATGATTTTTTTCTGCTAATCGAGCCCAATTACTTCACGAACTGCGAAATATTTTATCGAATAACGTGAATACCGTTCAAGTTTAATGAAGTCCGGTTACCTGTCCTTTGGCATGAATTAAAATGACCCGGAAACTTAAGTCGTGTTTTTTTTTACTTTTCTAACGCTTTTTTCTGCTTATTGCTGTATGGTCCTGGAGCCCAATTAGAGTGGAAGGTAAAAAAAAACAGCTTCCGGCCAGGAGGAGCTGCGATCAGATCACAGTCCTTACTCGGGCTTAGGCATCGTTGTCTCCAGTAATCTGACGTTTACCACCTCCAAGTCACTCGCAGCCTTCGTTTCACCATCGCTCGCAGCGCTCACAACTCCACGGACACAGCCACGGTAACGGCACCATGTATTGTGCGGTCAGTGTTTGTACGGAGACCGAGCGAAAGCCCGCGGCCCACCGCGCGCCGTTCAGACCGGTCCACGAACCGGCGCGCGTCGCTCTCAGGAAAGCAATCCGGCCGGAGTGGCTGGAGCGACGGTCGCAGGCGGCTGCCCCAGCTGGTTAGTGACGGTGACGGCGCGGAAGGCGCGGACGGCGCGGTCCTTCAGTCGGCGGCGCGGCCGGCCGCCCGGAGCACCAGTGCGAAGGGCGGCGCTGTCCGGCGGCGCTGGCTGGCGGCGCTGGGCCGACGGGGCGATGAGCGAATGGAATCGTGGTGCGTCCGGCAGCCGGTGATGGCGGCGCTGCCCGACGCGGCTGAAGGCGGCTCCTTACATGAGCGGCTTGTTTCTGTTACGGAGAGAGAGCTCGGGTCAGTGTCAGTCAGCACGTGCGGGTGAGCGGGCGCACGAGCGACGGACAGACGTGGCGCAAAATGCGCCATAGGTGTCGTCACAGAAAAATACACAGAGTGAGGCAAAGGACTGAAAATACACAGAAGCGGCGTGGACGAGCTACGAACAGTTAGGAGAATCAAAACAAATGGACTGAATTGGGTACTGGGGTTACGTCCCCAGTTTAAAAAAGAACATGTTTTAATGTGTCTCGTGTACTGTTTATCGGAGCTATGATATAGTCCGAAAAGTATTTTACAATATCCGTTTAAATTACGGTATTTATAATCAATTTCTGATCAACACTAAATAAAAAAGAAACAAAAATGCCAATCAAAAGTGAGCCAGGCGGATTATAGCGACACGGACGACACGCGGCGTGGCTGGAGGTCTCCCCGTGACGTCGTCCGGCTCCGGCAGCTCGGCAGGGCCGCCGCTCCGGCTCCCCGCTCCGGCTCCCCGCGCTGTCCGCGCCGCCCGCCGCCGACGCGCCACTTACGACGCCGACTCCTTGTTGCCGAACTGGGCGCCAGTGTCCATGCTGAGCGCGCCGGCGCCGCCGCCGAACCCGTAGCCCTTGGGTCCGTACTTGCGGCCGTGGCACTGCTTGCAGAACAGAACCTTCTCGTGCTCGCTGCAGTTGGTCGAGTCCAGCGCCTTGTTGCACATGGCTGAAAACGCCGCGCACAGAAGTCAGAAGTGGTAAGGTATAAAAAACACGTTAATCGGTTGTGAGGTCTTTAACATTTTTTTTTTAGACCTTCCCATATGCCATCAATTGATATATGCTGATGTCTCATGTCAACCCCGTCCTGTATGTATAACAGCAGGCTGCACACTTAACAGCCCACATCATTGCTAGGTGCACTTCATAACTAACTATTCCCGCTGAATACACGCTGCAGACTTTTCGCCGTTCACTTACAGCACTTGAAGCACGTCTTGTGGTACTTGTATCCACCGGCGACCCGCTCCTCGGCCGCATATACTGACTTATCGCAAGCCGGGCACTTGGGAGTCTCGACGGGCTTGAAAGGCATGGTGGCTGCTTTTCGGGATTATCTGTAGAATAACAAAGAACGAGGGTTAGAGGAAAGATCACCAAAGTTGGTTTTGAATGGAATTATGCTGTCATTCAGTGTCATGTCGGCTGTCGCTATCCGTTCACAAAGATATAACTAAGAAAGGCTGTGACCGATATTTTCAGGGTGAAAAGCTAATTTCTTACTGCTAGAAATGCACGAATTCAGGGAAACTCCAACTATGGCCAGAACCCTAACCTCCCACTTGCGTCGGATCCATGCACCAAAGCTTGCGTTTTTGGCCACTAGTTAGCGCTGAGGGTGTACGGCGCGAGGAGCCAAATTTGGCGAGGAGTCAAGGTAATCCGGCGCGGCGCAGTGTCAGGCGCGGTGAGTCACCCTACGAGTGACCTCAGTGGCTCCGCTCCACGCAAATTCAGGTCGGTCGAGCCAGCCAGGCCCAGGCGGCAGTCGAGGCCGTGTAAAAGAGCTCCACCACTGAGGCTGGCCTGTTGTTGAGCTGATTGGCAAATGATGTATGAACAATGGCGGGAATGCCAAAATGTGGCACGTATATTGACCAGACTTTTGAGGAAACAACTATTGTTGATTTGTTGGGAGCATTGGAGACATCAATTCCAAGTTATTTGTAAACGTTTTGTCTGTTTATCCCGCGCTATAGGGGAGACCGGGGACTGGAGCTGTGTCGCTCTCGGGCTGCATCATTGCTGTAAATGTGATATTGTAATATTTTACGCAATAGCATAAGATTAGATAGTTTACATTTTGGAATGCTTATGGAAACATGTCAGTAAGGGTACCTTGTAAATATTGGCCCAGGAAATTCTGTTGCGAAACCAGAAACATCTCAAACACCGATTTTCTTCTCTTTTATAGAGCTCGTCTATAATTATGTTGAGTTATACACTGGCAACATACCACCTCACGCAACATAACTCTATGACCGTTAACTAATAATTGCACAGGGTGTCAGAGCTCGACGGGGCTGGAGGACTACTAACAAAGTGGGAAGAGAACTGAACGATGACAGCGTCACACTCTTCAGTCCGTGTTCTGCCACGGCTCGCTGGAGGGCGATACGTCACATGTGACATGTGCGCCGATGTGTCAGATGCGAACGATACGTCAGAACCAAAAGACGTGGGTTCTGATGTGTGTGAAGTTTCGAGTAATTTTCGAGGAGCAGATGTTACGTCCGAGATAGCAATGGGAGTCGGGAAAGCACAGCATTACAGGCCTTTATTAACACTTTTATCCATGCGAAATAAACGTTAATTATCCAGGGCTTGAGATCGATGCGGTATCTAATACACAAAAAGGACATGCCGTGCAGTGCCAATGGCCACACGATAATTCTTGGCATGGTACAACAATGATTCATTATCGCTCCCCAAAGTGTAATTCGTTAGGTTGTAATTGGTCCTACAATGGGGCTTGATGTAAAATGTCATCACGACTGGACTAACTGCGGTTAATCACGGAATTCTGCAGAATCTATGGGAAGGAGCGACAAATGCTATAGTGCGGACCCAAAGGAGCGATCATTGTGAGTTCCAGGATAGCGCGCTTCGCACCTGAAGTAGCGAGCATTTTGGGCCAAAAGAAAAGACTTTGTAGACCCGAATGATCAACCATTACGGATCCAAAGGATGGACTTTGCGGGCCTGAGTGATAGACCATTACGGGCCCGATAAGACGACCATTGCGGGCCCACAGGAGTGTTCAATGTGGCCCAGTCGGCGCTTTGGAACGAGCCACGGCTGTGTCCTGGATCAAACCACAGCCGCAGCCCACCTCGTGGCACCTCCCCGTCGCTGGGGTCACACTAGGGTCACAAGGGGTCACACGGGGTCACAACTATGTGCCGGTCGGTATCGGCACTGCACCGGTCGGGTTAGGCACTACACTGGGCTGCCGATCAGTCAGTCACATTTTCCACAGCTGGCACCACATAGCGGGCCGAGCTGACCGCCGGGCCGCCGGGCCGCTGCGGCTCGGTCACCTGGCGTCAGCAGAGTCGGAGGCTGTCTTCTCGTGCGAGGTCGGACGCGGACTGCGCACCCGCCTTCCAGCTCACCACCCTGTTCGACTAGCGATTCAGAAATATCGGCTGAAGTCACCAACCGAAAATAGCGCCCCGCCTCGGCCGGCCTCTGGATCGGGCTGCTCTGGCGCCGTCCGTGCCCCCCCCCCTCCACTGGCCCCCTCCCTGACCCGAAGAAATCGAGTGAGGTCACGGGGCGGAGCACGGGTCGCTCGCTGATTGAGCGGGGAGGGACGGGCCAAATCCCGTTCAGTGAAAATATTCTCGGCGTTTCAGCTGTGCCGCAGTTGGTACTTATACCAGTAATTTCCCTGATTAATGGTTCAGGGACAGAAAACGTCTAAAAATTAGGGTTATTTACATTATGGTTAAAAAAAAACATTCGGACACTGTTGCGTTGTTCTTCTGGACAGAGCTAAGCCACGTATTCGTACGAGGTTCTCATAAGCAAACACAAGATGCTCATCTCTTCTACAACGGTGAAAGTTTCCGAAAATTATATAGTGGCTTCATTACGGTGAACGTGGTGACTAGGGTGAAGAACTATCTGTCATTCGCTTCAGGAGAAATAATGTCGGATACATTTAGAAATATCTAAGTAGAATGAGTCTTGATGATGGGACAATTACAGTTGAAAACACATTTTCGCGTTGCAGGAGCCGGTGTAGGTATGTGCCTTTTATAATAGGAAAACTTCACTTAAATCAGCACGGGGAGCACGGGTCGCTCGCTCATTGAGCGGGGAGAGACGTTCCAATTCCAATTCTGGGAAATATTCTCGGCGTTTCAGCTGTGCCGCAGTTGGTACTTACACCAAGTAAAATTTTTATCATTTTATATCAGACATTACCAGTATAACGCCTTTTGGGGCGACTAGCGGAGCGAGCGAGAGGGTGGGCCTTGCACGTGCGAAATTTCGAGGGGGTACCTCCAACTGAATTGAGCACGGCACCCTACTAACCGGTCTCTAGCAATATGCCAAATTTGAGCACAATCGGCCCAGCCGTTCTCGAGATCTGGAAGCGGCACCCTGCACGTGCGCACGTGCAATATGGGTCCCAACTGACTTGTGCACGGCACGCTACTAACTGGTCCCTAACCGTGTACCAAATTTGAGCGCAATCGGTCCAGCCGTTCTCGAGATCTGGAAACGACCCCTGCACGTGCGCACGTGCAGCAGCACCCCAACTCTGGCACATGGATATGCAGTGCCTAGTGGGTGCCTACCTATATGCCAACTTTCAGCGCAATCGGCCAAGTAGTTACCGAGATATTGCAACAATTACAAAACGGACACCTCTTCGTTTTGCACGTGGCACGTGCATAAGGGGTCACCCACATGCATCGGGAATTGTCCAATACTTGGTAGAAGGAATGAAGCTACCGTACAAAAATTACCGCGCGTAAATCGGTTAAGTGGTTGCTGAGATATAAGCCTCGCAAAAGCGTCCGCACGGCCGGCCGGCCGGCCGGCCGGCCGCTCATACTCAGAAATTTCCGTTAATCTAAGGAAAGACTACGCTCGCTTCGCTCGCTCCGTAACCAGTATAACGCCTTATGGGGCGACTAACGGAGCGAGCGAAAGGGTGGGCCTTGCACGTGCGAAATTGCGAGGGGGTACCTCCAACTGACTTGTGCACGGCACCCTACTAACCGGTCTCTAGCGATGTGCCAAATTTGGGCACAATCGGCCCAGCCGTTCTCGAGATCTGGAAGCGGCACCCTGCACGTGCGCACGTGCAAAATGGGTCCCAACTGACTTGTGCACGGCACCCTACTAACCGGTCCCTAACTGTGTACCAAATTTGAGCGCAATCAGTCGAGCCGTTCTCGAGATTTGGAAAAGACCCCTGCACGTGCGCACGTGCAGCAGCACCCCAACTCTGGCACATGGATATGCAGTGCCTAGTGGGTACCTACCTACATGCCAACTTTCAGCGCAATCGGCCAAGTAGTTACCGAGATATTGCAACAATTACAAAACTGACACCTCTTCGTTTTGCACGTGGCACGTGCATAAGGGGTCACCCACATGCATCGGGAATAGTCCAATACTTGGTAGAACGAATGAAGCTACCCTACAAAAATTACCGCATCTAAATCGGTCAAGTGGTTGCTGAGATATAAGCCTCGCAAAAGAAACCCCGGAAATAACGGAAATTTACGGAATAACGGAAATTTCTGAGTATGAGCGGCCGGCCGGCCGGCCGGCCGGCCGTGGTCACGATTCTGCAACGCTTATATCTCAGCAACCACTTGACCGATTTACATGCGGTAATTTTTGTAGGGTAGCTTCATTCCTTCTACCAAGTATTGGACTATTCCTGATGCATGTGGGTGACCCCTTATGCACGTGCCACGTGCAAAACGAAGAGGTGTTCGTTTTGTAATTGTTGCAATATCTCGGTAACTACTTGGCCGATTGCGCTGAAAGTTGGCATGTAGGTAGGCACCCACTAGGCACTGCATATCCATGTGCCAGAGTTGGGGTGCTGCTGCACGTGCGCACGTGCATGGGTCGTTTCCAGATCTCGAGAACGGCTCGACCGATTGCGCCCAAATTTGGTACACAGTTAGGGACCGGTTAGTAGGGTGCCGTGCACAAGTCAGTTGGGACCCATTTTGCACGTGCGCACGTGCAGGGTGCCGCTTCCAGATCTCGAGAACGGCTGGGCCGATTGTGCCCAAATTTGGCACGTCGCTAGAGACCGGTTAGTAGGGTGCCGTGCACAAGTCAGTTGGAGGTACCCCCTCGCAATTTCGCACGTGCAAGGCCCACCCTCTCGCTCGCTCCGTTAGTCGCCCCAAAAGGCGTTATACTGGGGATTTGAAGATGTTTGATGTAAAAGAGATTTAGTGCAGATTTGGTCAAGTTTAGTGAACTCGCCAGACAACCCGTCGTGAAAACGGCTTATGTGTCAGATGGTCTCAGAATAGCCGTTTTCACGACGGCCATCTGGTACACATTTGGTGCACATCTGGTACAGACTAGGTGCAGATTTGGTCAAATCAGGTTCAGTGTGTCTCTTAGCAGCTATCAGCTAGGGTTGCACTAATTGCTTATATGCCTGCTTTGTCGTATTGTCAGAGAGCATCATCGATTAAAACACTGAAATAATTTCATAAAATGAAGATATTTACTGTAAAAGAAATTAGGTGCAGATTTGGTCAAATCAGGTGCATTCGCCGGATAGCCCGTCGTGAAAACGGCTATCATAGCAACAATGCTAGCTCAAGTCGTTTTTATGTAGAGCAGAAAACTGACAGACAGCGAACCATCCCTCCACTCCACCAGTAACAGCTAGCAGGGTTCAATAAATATGATTTAACCTAGATGTGCCAGTTAGCTGTCTCCCTCAACCACTTCCATTCAAACACCTCCCGGTGAATAACAGCCTGAGGCCAACAACCTTGACCCAGCCTGGCAGACGGCCCCACCTGGCCTGCCCCGTTACCCTGCTCCAGCCGCGTACTATTTGTAGCGTGTGCAAAAACCACGTGGCAATGTTTGGCCCTGATGCGTCGCTGATTGGACAGCTGGCCACTGACGTCAGTGATCTGGGCCCAACGATAGCCGAGCTCTCAGTGCCGCACCTCCCTAACACGTCGTGAAGAGAGCTGGTCTCGTACTATTTGTAGCGTGTGCAAAAGTCACATGGCAGTGTTTACCTCAGCGGCGTCGCTGATTGGACGACTGGTCGCTGACGTCAGCGACCTAGACCCAACAAGCCGGGGGCTCCGTGCCACACCTCCCTAACACGTTGTGAGGAGAGTCGGCCTCGTACTATTTGTAGCGTGTGCAAAAGTCACATGGCAGTGTTTTGCTCAACGGCGTCGCTGATTGGACGACTGGTCGCTGACGTCAGCGACCTAGGCCCAACCAGCCGGGAGCTCCGTGCCACACCTCCCTAACACGTTGTGAAGAGAGTTGGCCTCGTACTATTTGTAGCGTGTGCAGAAGTCACGTGGCTATGTTTTGCGGAGTATCGTCGGTTGGTGCCGGGCGGCACTAACGACGAAAAGAAGCTGAGGGGATTTAATTATTTTCTACCCGCTGAGAGGAATCAAGATTGATTCAAATAATTTTTTCCTCTCATTCACTGCTACCGAAACAGTGGTTTTTGTATAGACGACATTATGATATTACGGCAATGCTGATGCTTCGCAGTGGCTTCAACTTGTTGAACCTCACTTATCACTATAATATATAATTTGTCAAAGACACACGCATCTTCATTACAGCCCACACAACGTCTTCAGCTTATACTTTGACTAAGTATGATCAGATTGAAGTGAAAAAGTTACTGATTTCGGCTGAATATTGCGAAAGATTACTACAAGTCTGCATGAAAATTTATCGCTGTTGTTTGGAGGTCTTCCCAAATTGCATTGCCTGACATTATCCCTCGCCCTGGCAGGGCATTTTTCATAACACGGCCTGGCAGGGGGGGGGGGGGGTCGATGCGATCCCCCCCGCGATTGGCTCCTATGGAACCTAGAAACACCAAATTTGGTAGGTAGGTGGGCCCCCTGGAGTTCTCGCCCCTGTGCAAATTTGGTTGCTCTAGGTCAATATTTAGGGGGGTTTTGGGGGGTATAAATGTAAAATTTTTGCTAAAAACGTGTGAAAAGGTTTTCGCTTATAACTTTTGATCTAATTAAGATAGAGCAAAAAGAAAAGCACCAGTGAACTCAGCACGTCAAGGCGCGTCGAATGACATACTTTTTAGCTTGCTTAAGTGTACTTAAAGTTTTTCTTAAATTTTAACCCGCGCCGTGCTGGGGGGGGGGCGTTTTTACGCCCCCCCCTCAGGTTTTTCGCGAATATCTCAAAAACGGCGGCGCGCAGCGCCGCCGTTTTTGGTACACGTGTTCCTACATCATTTCCGCACATGTTGTGAAAATTTCAGACCTAGGCCGTTCAAGGTCAGGTCACCAGGTCACGTCAAGTGACCTTACCTCAGAAAAAGTTCAAAGGCTCGCTATAGCTACACCGACTGAACGATCACTTTGAAACTTTCAGCGATTGATATGAGTAACAGTATGTATAAAATGTATATCTCGGATTTTTTATATCTGTGACCTAAGGTCAGGTCAATTTTGCGACCTCTCCATTATAAGTCAATGGGAGAAAATTGAAATGCGCCTCTTTTGGACGAATATCGTTCAAAACGCTCTCAAACATCGGTTCATAGGTAAACATGACACACTGAATAGGAAAAATGCACCTGTGACCCCTCTGTGTGCCCCTGAGGTCATCTCAGGTCATGAACGGTCGCCAGCAGTTTTTTGGCTATAACTTTTGATAGAGACGTGCTAGAGCGGTGAAAACACGTCAGATGTGTTCAGCTCGACGATACGGATCGACTGATATGCAACATGACCCTTTTCGGTCAGGTCATGACCTTGACCTGAGGTCAAATTTTCAAAATGACCTTTCAAGGTCAACAAATAGTTCATTCGACGCGTCTCGACGAGAGGAACACGATGCTGGCAAAAGTAATGTCATGGCGCTTATGAGTCAAAAGTTATTGACGAAAAAACGTTTTTCGTAAAAACGGCTATTTTTGGAGTTTTTGCCCTCTGGAGGCTAAACCGTTGACCTGAGGTCAAATCTGAGAACATTACTCAGAAAGGTCTGTAAAAGGGCTATCGAATGCGCTTTTCCGCGGCGCTGTAGCTCTATCGGTTCCCGAGATAGCCGTTGGCAGTTTCCAAAATGTTGAAATAGTCAACATTTTACCTTTGGTGACCTCTGGTGACCTGACCTTTGACCTGACCCAAAAAATGACCGAAGTGTTTTCGTCCTTATTTTTGACGCTCTTTCGATTGCCGCTTACCGCGTGTCGCTACGTGGCCCAGGAGCCGAGTTAGACGGGGGGGCGTGAAAACGCCCCCCCCAGCACTCGGCGGAAAGTTCAGGCCACCAGCACGGCGCGGGTTAAGTAAACTAATAAATTAAGTTCAAGTTAACCAAATTGCATCATATCGCATATCATTCGATTCGGCTGATCACCTGGAACACAATGATACCATTTTTAAGCTCTAGCGTCATTATGTGCCAAGTTATTGGCAAAAACGTCATTTGGCCTCAGTTGACCTCATTTGACCTGACCCATGGATAAGTACACCAAACAAAGAAGCACCAAGTGACCTGCTGTTAAGTACCGTGGTTTCAAAGCACAAAAGTGATAAAAAGAAACGGATATCTCCAGTAATTTCCGAATTTAGTATTTTCCCATAGGCTTAACATTACGACGTAATGACCTCTAACTGACCTCAGGTCAGTGACCTCAGAAAACCCGAACCATATGTTATACAACTCGGTGAACTTAGCACATCCTGAAAGTTTGAAAGAAATCAGTCCAAAACTGTGAGTTGGACAGGTGCAAAAAGAAAATTGAAATTTGACCATGACCTTGTACCGGTTTTTCTGACCTGGTGACCTGACCCAAGATCACCCGGGCCTGAAATTTTTAGGTCATATGTAAAAAGGTTGCCCTATAGGCTGTACCAAATTTGGCGGCGCTGCGCGCCGCCGTTTTTACGCTATCTTCGAAAAACCTTAGGGGGGGGTCGCATCGACCCCCCTGCCAGGGCGAGGGCTATGATGCTCATTGACAAGTGTCAAGTGTAGAAGTGAAAATATACGTAAGACGAACGGATCTTTCAATTCGATGAATTTGAACGGATCTTCAAATTCAACATCGAGCGTCGACATCTCCAAAATCGACTTCGACAAAGACGTCGAGTACAATTGGAAGGTATGAATATATCGCTGTATCTTTCCAGAGCCTCTTTTGAAATATCTATGATGAGTTTGGCTATTCGATAACTGACATGCATGAATAATTTTCATCCGAGATATAGCCTGTTTAACCCTCGCCCTGGCAGGGGGGGGGGTCGATGCGACCCCCCCTAAGGTTTTTCGAAGATAGCGTAAAAACGGCGGCGCGCAGCGCCGCCAAATTTGGCACAGCCTATGGGGCAACCTTTTTACATGTGACCTGAAAATTTCAGGTCCGGGTGACCTTGGATCAGGTCACCAGGTCAGAAAAACCGGTACAAGGTCATGGTCAAATTTCAATTTTCTTTTTGCACCTGTCCAACTCACAGTTTTTCACTGATTTCCTTCAAACTTTCAGGATGTGCTAAGTTCACCGAGTTGTATAACATATAGTTCGGGTTTTTTGAGGTCACTGACCTGAGGTCAGTTAGAGGTCATTACGTCGTAATGTTAAGCCTATGGGAAAATACTAAATTCGGAAAATACTGGAGATATCCGCTTCGTTCTATCATTTTAGTGCTTTGAAACCACAGTACTTAACAGCAGGTCACTTGGTGCTTCTTTGTTTGGTGTACTTATCCATGGGTCAGGTCAAATGAGGTCAACTGAGGTCAAATGACGTTTTTGCCAATAACTTGGCACATAATGACGCTAGAGATTAAAAAATGGTATCATTGTGTTCCTGGTGATCAGCCGAATCGAATGATATACAATATGACGCAATTTGGTTAACTTGAACTTAATTTATTAATTTAAGTTTACTTAAAATTTAAGAAAAACTTTAAGTACACTTAAGCAAGCTAAAAAGTATATCATTCGACGCGCCTTGACGTGCTGAGTTCACTGGTGCTTTTCTTTTTGCTCTATCTTAATTAGATCAAAAGTTATAAGCGAAAAACTTTTGACCTGTTTTTAGCGAAATTTTTACATTTATACCCCCCAAAACCCCCCTAAATATTGACCTAGAGCAACCAAATTTGCACAGGGGCGAGAACTCCAGGGGGCCCACCTACCTACCAAATTTGGTGTTTCTAGGTGCCATAGGAGCCAATCGCGAGGGGGGGGGGGTCGCATCGACCCCCCCCCCTGCCAGGCCGTGTTATGAAAAATGCCCTGCCAGGGCGAGGGTTAAAACCTACAGCTCCTACGCCCTGAGCCCCGAACCTTCATTAGTCGGCCGGCGGGAGCCGCGCTCGACCACTGGCCCCGCTGCCACCTTGATGATCGCGCCGGCCGGTGCAGGCCAGCCCCTCCGCTGGATCGCCGGCGCACCTTCCAGCACCGCCAGCCGCCGGTGGCAGGTATTTTGGGGCTGGCTGCTCGGCCAGACCGGTGCCAGCCAAACAAAGACGCTCCAAAACCAACAGGCCGGGCCGGGCCGGCGCTGCGGGCCTCGCCCACCGGCCCCGCAGCTGGCAGAGGCGGCGGATCAAGGCAGTGGGCGGCGGCGGAGCGGTGGGCGGAGTCTGCACTCGGCCCTCACGGCCAGGGCGACCCACTTGGAATCGGAGAACACTACCCTGCTTTTTTGGTTTCTCATCAGATGCGTTGAAACACAAGCAGTACCTAGGTCGGCGTCAGAAAACTGTTACGCAAGCGACTTTCTGCAGCGCAAAAACGTGCACGGATGGTGCACCCAGCAAAGTTGAGAGCGACTCTATTCAGGAACCAATTGGTTAAATGGAAACAATTACAGTGGGATGGCTATCACTGATGATGTCAGGTCAAGGAAACCTTCGTTTGTAATTTATAATGAGGACCTGGTCTGCCTGCATTTCTTCTTCTTCTTTTTTGTGTGAAATGCTTTAATATTTTTGCCCACCCGACCAATGAAGAAATGGAAATTTGTTCATTGAAAGGTAAGTACACTGCACTTGTTTTCTTGCCTCAAAATAATCATCAGCTGTAACTGTCGATCTTTCAATGGAAAACTTTTTAGAAGCGGTGCGGATCGACGAAATTACGACTTACCGTGTACCACACCGCTTATGTGTTTCAAATGGTAGTAGGTATCACAGGGATGGACGAAATATAAAAAATGCGATTATGTCCATGTTAGGAATCATGCTTCAGATTAGCAAATGCATTGGTGGTCACTGCACCAACTGGTGGTTATCATGGCTTATGCTCAGTAACTGGGGGCGAAAATTCCATCTAAGGCGGGACTCCATCTAAACTCCTTCTACCCTAGCTGTCATGCACCGACCGACGAAACTACCCACTACCCAGACAAACAGGACCACGTGACTTTTGCACACGCTACAAATAGAAGGCGGTCCTCCTCAGCACAACGTGTTAGGGAGGTGTGGCACGAAGCGCCGGCTCTGGTTGGGTCTAGGACGCTGACGTCAAAGACTAAGCTTCCAATCAGCGACGCTGCTGAGGTACACACTGCCATGTGACTTTTGCACACGCTACAAATAATCATGGCCACTTTCCACTATGTGTTAGTGAGGTGTGGCACGAAGCGCCCGGCTGGCTGAGCAGGTCGCTGACGTCAGTGGCTGGTCGTCCAATCAGCGACGCCGCTGAATCACGTGCTTTTGCACACGCTACAAATAGCACGAGCTTTCTCTCTTCACAACGTGTTAGGGAGGTGTGGCACGATGCTCCAGGCTGGTTGGATCTAGGTCGCTGACGTAAGAGGCCAGCTGTCCAATCAGTGACGCATCTGAGTCAAACATTGCCACCTGGCTTTTGCACACGCTACAAATAGCACGCGGCTGGAGTGGGTTAACAGGGCAATCCAGGTGGGACCGCTCGGTAAGGTCAAGGCTGTTGGCGTCAAAAGTTATTTATCTGTGATACCTGGATGGTTGGGCGATGGCCGCACCTAACAATTGGAACGTGAAACGGTGACTTCGAGACGTTCAGCGACTTTGAAGGTAGATGATGCATGATATCGTTTTGTTTTCAATTATAGGGGAGAGTGGGGAAAGGGGTTTGTAAAGTTACATTAAAAAAAAAAATGACGCCCGCAAAGCAAGAACTTGGAGTTTCAGCGTAAGCCGACATCATTTTTCTCCACAAAATGTTACACTTCCGTGCTTGAAATATGATAACTTTTTTGATATTAGTTATTTTCCTGAAGTAGTGCAAGGGGACATCTTATCCCAGAGGGTGGGAAAGACGCCCCCTGGCGTTGGGTAAGATCCTTAGTAGGTATACATCCTTAGTATACTTAAATGGGCACGTGAATTGCCTGAACGAATCAGTTCCCTTCTATTCTGTGGTAGGCACCTAAACGCCATCGTAAGGACCCTCAAAAGTTGCCGTGAGGGGCTTCAGAGGTCATCGTGAGGGCCATCATAGTCCAGCGCGGTCAAACAAGCCTTCGTGGTGGCGTTCAAAGACCGTTGTGGGGCCCTTATAGGTCTTCATGAGTCTTGAGAGCCTTCAAGACCATCGTGGGGACATCAGATGCCAGCGCGGCCCGTGGAGCCATTTTGGCGGTCCCAAATGATGCTCTGAGGGGTCGCGGAGCCAATAACCCGCGCCCGGCTGGGGGTCCTGGATTTCCATGCCCTGCTGGGGGGGGGGGGGTGTTTGAACTTTGAACACCCCCCTTCTAACTCGGCTCCTGGGCCACGTAGCGATACGCGGAAGGCGGCGTTCGAAAGAGCGTCAAAAATAATGAGGAAATCACTTCGGACAATTTTTTGGTCAGGTCAAAGGTCAGGTCACCAGAGGTCATTGAAGGCAAAATTTCGCCGATTTCCAGGTCGAATGTCGACAATTTCCAAGAAGCCAACGCATAACTCGGGAACCAATAGAGCTACAGCGCCGCAGAAAAGCGCATTCGATAGCCCTATTAACGCCCTTTCTGAGTAATTCTCTCAGATTTGACCTAACGTCAACGGTTTTGCCTGCAGGGGGCAAAAACTGCAAAAATAACCGATTTTTTTTCGGAAACAGTTTTCCTGAAATAACTTTTGACCCAAGCCTTGTACGAGCTTACTTTTACCGGCATCGTGTTCCTCTCGTCAAGACGCATCGAATGAACTATAACTTGACCTTGAAAGGTCAACTTGAAAATTTGACCTCAGGTCAAGGTCATGACCTGACCGGAAAGGGTCATGTTGCATATCAGTCGATCCGTATCGTCGAGCTGAACACATCTAAGGTGTTTTCATCGCTCTAGCATGCCTCTATCAAAAGTTATTTGCGAAAAACTGTTCGATACCATTCGTGACCTAAGATGACCTCAGGGCATAAACAGGGGTCACGGACACCATTTTCATGTTCAGTGTGTCTAAACCACTTGTATTTCAGTGTTTAGGAGTGTTTATAATGTCTTTCGTCCAAAAGAGGCGCATTTCAATTTTCTCCCATTGACTTATAATGGGGAGGTCGCAAAATTGACCTGACCTTAGGTCATCGATATCAAAATTCTGAGATATACATTTTGTACATGCTATTGCTCTTAGCAATCGCTGAAAATTTCAAAGCGATCGGTCACTCGGTGTAGCTATGACAGACATTGAAACTTTTTATGAGGTGAGGTCACTTCAAGTGACCTGGTGACCTGACCTTGAATGACCTTGGTCTGAAATTTTCACAACATGTGTAGAATTGATGTATAATAAGGTGTACCAAAAACGGCGGCGCTCCGCGCTGCCGTTTTTGAGATATTCGCGAAAAACCACAAGGGGGGTGTTCAAACACCCCCCCCCCAGCAGGGCGCGGGTCCACACTCCACAGAGGCCGTCGTGAGGGCTCTCAGAGTCAGATATCGCCCAAAAAGTCGGTGTATGGGCCGAGAGACCGGCATGAGGAGCACCTGACCGTTATATTGCACTGTCAATAGTCCTAAATCGCCTTTTATTTCTCACCACAAGTACATATGTACTAAATGATTCGACAGGTTTCTTGAAGGGCAGCCTATGGGTTAGGTGGCGTCTTTCCCCATCAGGTCAGGGGGCATCTTTCCCCAGGCACCGAATTGACAAATAGCAATTTGTACAATTTGTTAGTACTAAAACTAAACCCTGAACCAAACTGGCTGGGACTCAGTACACGCATGTGAATGCATCACGGCAATAACAAAGTGCATAAAAATTGTTTACCTTTTTGATATTCACAATGTTTTGACACCAAAATATATATATATATATTTTTTTTTTTAATCAGCAAATACAAAACATGCAGCCACCAGCCCATCATTGCCCAACTGAGCTGCGTAATCTTTTTGTGCAGTAAACAATAAAGGCTTCCGCTTTACGCTAAGAGCATTATTTTCCATATTGTATTCCTTGTTTCGCCATTAGAGAGGCTGCGGCGTCTTTCCCACCCTGGGCATCGTAACCCACTCTCCCCTACTTTTATCATGCGGATACTTGGCGAACTACTGACAACTTCATTTTGAAATATCGACCTTCAGATCAACGAACCGAAAAAAAAAACACTTTGGCATCTTAGGTATGTCCATAAAGTTAGCGTCGTATTCGTATTCGGATTCCAATTCGAGTAACTGATTTCGCTCAAAATTGGCATACAGAATACAGATAGCCCATGGCACGCTGAGTTCGAAAATGGTGACCTGGGTAGCTCACTAGCTATATGGTCGACCTTTTATCGGCCACCTTCGCAAACGATAAAAGGAGCTCAAAGACTTGTAAAAAAAAAATAAAAATGATCAAAAAGATAAATACCTACATTGAAGTTGTTTAATTGCTTTTCATTAATTCCGCAGGCTGTTGTAATATATGTATGCACAATGATTAGTGATCATTACTAGTGATAAAGCGATCACATTTTCTACAGAACAAGAAAGTCAACGATGATTTTTACTTGGGAAAGTCACTAGAGGAGAAGGAGAGCTATGCAGGGCTTTCATGTCCCAAACAAACGTAGTGGAGGGCACGATGCTCCGGAGTGAGGCAGGGAGTCCCAGTCTCAGCTGGAGGAGATAGCAGTTTGATGTCATGACTTGGTGTGCGCCGTGCGGTATCCCAGTCTGATGTGACCTGGTGCAGGTGGTGTTAAAGTCTGAGGTGGCGACGGATTGGACTGTATCCTATTCTGAAGTGGGGAGGTCCCAGTCTAGGTCACTGGGGCGGTTTGCGCTACCCTGTCCGCCGGGTCTCGGCGGCGCCCCGGTTTGCGCGCTGGCAGGTCACTGAGGCGGTTGGCGCTACCCTGTCCGCCGGGGTTCGGCGCCCCGCCCCGGTTTGCGCGCTGGCAGGTCACTGGGGCGGTCTGTGATACCCGTCCGCCGAGTCTCGGCGGCGCCCCGCCCCGGTTTGCGCGCTGGCAGGTCGGGTCGGGGTGTCGGCCGCTGCGGAGACGGTTGGCAGCGGCTCGGCCTCGTCACCGACCTGTGTGCCGCTCGGCCGGTGAGTCATCGCGCACTATTTCGGGAGTAGGACGGCCGACGGGTGGCGGCGGCGGCTGCCCACGCCCCTGTTTACTCAGAGCAGTGATAATAAGCAGGTCGGTCTGTCACAGAGGATCCAGGGCCGCTTCAATCCCCGCGCTCCCCCGTTCTGTCAGCCGCCACCTGACATTTTGGGAAAATCCAGGTAGCCGACGTCCCCAGACGGACAGTGTGCGAGCCACGGGTGTAATTCAGTTCAGTCTCTGCTGGACCCCGTACACAATTTTCATGAGCAGCCCTGCCTTACACAGAGCGACAGCACATGCAA